CTCTCTCTCTCTCTCTCTCTCTCTCTCTCTCATTCTCTCATTCTCTCCCCCCTCCCCGCAAATCTTGCTGTACTCAGAGAATGGCTACAGTCCTGATCAAAGAAAATATTTTTGCCTTAATAAAAGTTTCTTCATCTCCTGTTTGCAGATGGCTGATCACTGGGAGACGGCACCCCGACATATGATACGATTAGATATTCGCTCTTTGCTACAAGATGCCGCTATTGAGGAGGTGAGGTTTCCAAGAAGCTTGCTAAAGCATATAAATAATATTAATATTATTTATATGTGGAATGTGGAATGTGATTACTAAAGTAGATATCAGCTATTGGTGCATGTTTACCTGCAGATTGAACAAGTCAATATTTAGTGATATTACACTCTAAAATATTAGAAGTCTAGATGACTCTGTCACAAGAATCCCACAAGAGAATGGTGTAAGAAAGGTAATGTTGAAGGAAGCATTGTAGAATGTGTAAGAGATGAATAAATACCTTGGGTTTCTGAGAGAGATAACTGCAGGTAGAAACCAGCACAGCACAAGTGGAAGCCCATTTGTGTTAGAGAACTTTCTTCCTCTTTCCTGCAGCCCTCCGTGCCCCAAAAATCTGTTTGGTAGGGTCTCACAACCCTCCAGGGCTACTTAGGGAACACAAGGGGCTACTGGGGGGAGGGTGAATCCTTCCCCTTCCATTTCTGCTGGCAAAAGTAGCTTCAGCAGCAGCAATACTGGATTGGATTGTAACTTGTAAGTAAAGGCTTCATTCTATTCTAGTGTTTGGCGCTCATTTTGAATACTAAGGAGCTTTGCATGCATGCATGCATACTAAAGATGCAATCCTTAGAAAAGATAGGTGTTACGTGCATTATATATTAAAATCTTGAGTGAATCCCCAAAACTGTTTTTATTTTTTGTTGTTTGGATTCATACAAAAGTATGCTGCCGTATGTTTCGTGAGTAGTAGATGCATAATTTCAGATAGTTTTGTATAACCTAATAATTATGCATTACTTTAGGTGGAGATGGAGGATTTTGATGCAAATATTGAAGACCAGAAAGAAGAAAATAAAAAAGATGCAGAGGAAGAAGAAAGTGAATTGGTAGGAAACTCATTATCAAACCCCAACCAGAAATCTCTTTTATTACAGTGTATAACAGGGTTTCAGCCTATAGTAAAATCCAACTGATTTTCCCCCACCAGTTTCCTGTTCCATTGCTATCTTTTCTAATAGTATAAGAACACTGGATAAATATGTAAATTATTGTTTATGAATTTTAAGCAATTTTTGAGAAGCTTTTGGTACTACAGCTGTTTTAGTTGAATTTAATTGAATCCCTGGTTTGTATCTTCTATTAATAGAAGTTATAATCTGGATATTGTTGGCATGTTCTGGAATTCTAAAAGCTGTAGCTGTACCTTGAGGGATATCAGTTTGAAATGTTTTCAGGTGGGGTGAAGAAAAAAACTGTTGAATTGCATTGCTTATTTATTCTACACTTTTCATAACAAATGTCTTTGACTAATCTTCTAAAAATTAGACACATCTCTTACAGCACAACCCTGTGCACATATTGAGAAGGAAGCTCCACTACATTCATTGGTCCTACTTCCAGGAATGTGTGCACAGGTTTGCATCACAGAAGCTGGGTGGAACCCTTCATTCTCAATCAGCTTGTTCTCCAACTCATTAAACAGAGCTCACAGATACAACACTTCTACAAGAGAAGATTGCCCTAGTTTCAGCCTTGCATTCTGATGGGAACCAAGACTTCTTGGAGATCCAGCACAGAGCAAAATCCAACTTCAGTATTATCACAGATATGGTAGTTACTACCTTTCTTCTTGAATGGCTGCTATCAGGTGGATCGGCTTGGATGTGCCGACACACCCACCCACTCTTGGATAACTATACTGCTCTGTACCACCTCATACTCTGCTTGCATCTTGATGGGCAATAACAATGCAGGTTCACAGACATGCTGCTTTACTCTCTCTCTAACCTCAAGCTGTATGAAGACTACTTTTGAGAATGGTATCCATTTTAGGCAAAATAAGCTGTTGTTGTTAAACTTGCGGTAAGAAGCGTGATACTTCACACGCATATAAGAAAATTGGGACTAGTGATCCCCAGTTAGAGATCAACTGGAATCCAAATGGAAAGAACATTCCCAAAGATATCTCATATATTCTAGTGCAAATACATGGCTCTTTTTTCAGATTCTTAAGGAGGGCAGATGCCACAGGCACAGCAGGGCTAGGTTCCCAACAATCTAGTCAAAAAGCTGTGAATTCTACCCTAACACACTGTGGAAATGCTGCTGTTGCTATTGGGTGTCCATTTGAACTCTGTCGTCTTAAGATGATAGCTCTCAAAGATGGGAATGAAATGCTTGGGAACAGTAAGAAAAATCCACACTTGGGATTGGTCACAGCGGAAAGGCTTGAATAAGCTTACTTAGGCAGAGTTGGCCACAGTTTCCTGCAAGAACCCTCATAACCACTGTGATAATCTGGACAAACATATGGCTAAAACATTTCTTACTTCCCAAGAAAGCCAAAGGACCCAAATCTGTTTGATCAACATACTGACATACTTGTTTGATAGGCTCTTCTTTTGTACAGTGGAAATAGTAAAACAAGGAAGAAATCAGATATCAGTCTGATGTATGCCCTCTGCCAGTGAGGGCTGGGTTATGGCAACCATTCCTACTGCATATGGGCACTTACAATTCTTCATATCCCTGAAAAAATACAACTTTGTCATGTTCTGGAGCAAGCCACTGAGCTATGAAGCAGATTTGTCATCCTCCTCCCAATCAGGTGAAGCCAATACAATCAGGCAGTTCTTGATACCACTTTTTATATCTTGGACATAACAAGCCATGAAGGAAGTCCCACCAATCTGAGGGTCTAATCTTCCATTCTCAAAATAAATTGGGCCCAGAAAATACTTTTTTGATTTCTACTTTCTGAACAAGTTCCCAGAAATAATTCCAAATGGCTGTAACTGTTATGAGGTGAAGGAGCATTTTTAACATTTATGTGTAGACACTGAAAAATATCAGCACTGTTGAATCAGCTGTTTTTGTGAGTGGTACTTACTTCATTATACGTTGATATGCTAGCTTTCAGTGCTGTTTATCCCTTTTACCAAGCTTTGGAACCAAAATAGTCTGTTGGACTAACTTCCCACTGAGTGGGAACTTGGAACTCTGAAAATACATATAGGCCTGGTGAAGTTTGGGATAATATTCTCCAAATCTTCATAGCAAAGGAGAAGAAATGTCTTTGACTTTACATACATTACAGCATTTGTTAGCTTTCTCAGCAAATGCAAGGACATCAAAAGCTCAAGGGCCCTCTTTCTAAATGTGCAGATCCAATGGCATTGGATAAGGGAACACATAACTTTTTTAGGTTCTATGGGAATGTTGTTTCTGTGACGAGAGCAGCATATTCTATAGAGTTGCCCACTAATGCTCTGAGAATATTAGCAAGAAATAACTGATGAACTAAGAACTAGATATATTGAGAACAACTCACAAATATGTGACATCAGGGCACCTAGTGGTGCCTTCTGGAATTTGTCCACTGACCTGGCAAAGGACAGAGGGGAGATTTGCCTGGAGTTTTGTGACTTCTGAAGAATCGTCAGAGTGATGGATGGATGGATGGATGGATGGATAGATGGATGGACGGGTGGACAGACAGACACTAAAGCTTGCTAACTTAATCACTTATACTTGAGAAAGAAGGATCATCAGACCACTGAACCTTGTTCATCATCTGTGATTTACGAGTCCTTTTGGAAACTGTTTCCTAAGTTGGGTAGGTTTTGCTTAAACTATTATGGAACATAAAGAGCTTATTATGAGAGGCATTTCCTTGCAACTATCTCTGTACATTATGGTTTTGAAATCCCTTGTCTTTTACTGGAGCCACTTCTGGAGATTTTGTTCTAGAGCATCATTTATGCTATACTTTTCCATCTCTCTGAAAATATGAATTTTGCTTTATAAAATGGTCCCTTTGCTCCATAATAGCTGAGGTTTGGACATAACTACAAAAATAAACTGAAGATGGAGTATGTATGGCAGTAACTTGACCTTTGCCAACGACGTTTGTAAGATATCGCACTGAAGTAGATACCGAAGCCACCAAAGATTACTTTGGAGAAGGATGCTACAAATAATGCAATGAGATGATCTATTCCAGGACTGTGGCTACTATTGCTGTGCAGCCGTTTGTTGGCTGCTGTCCTACCTCTGGAACTAGAAAGAAACTGAAGTTTCTGCAAGGTTCTTTTCTGTTCAGTACGTAGAAGATCAATCGGTTTCCACCTTCTGACTTAAAAAGGCTTCCCAGTGATATTCTTGAATTCTGTCAACTCTCCCTGCCCTACTTTCATGCCTAAAGAGTGGCATTAAGTATTATTGTACAGTTTTAGAAATTGAAAATTTCTTTCCAGTGTGCCGACATTATATCCCCCAATGAAATTCATTCCTGAAAGCAGTGTCAAGCCATTCCTGTGAACCCTTCCTTCTGAGTTGGTGGCAGAGTTAATCTACTGTTGATTTCTTTATGAACTGCTGATCAGAGAGGTTCTTCACCATGTATAACTTGTCTTCTTTGTTAAGGTGTACTTGTAAGTTTCTTCCCCAGATTTAAGGATATATCATAAGAGGAGTCATGAGGGATCGCACCAGGAACCTATCTAGACCACTATGCTATGACACACAGTTGCAAATGAGGTGCTTGTTGGAAGCCCACAAGCAAGATGTGAGGTCATAGCCCTTACTTGCTGTGGATCTTCAGCAACTGTTATAGGCACATTGCCTATTAACCTGGAGGGTAATATATAGGCATCTCCACTGATAGCCTTATCCTCTATGAATTTGTCTAATCCCCTTTTAAATGATTTCATTTTGGTGGCCTTCACCATTCAATGAAATGACATTTGGAGAACAAAATTATAAGACGTATTTAACTAAACACGCGCACACACAAACACACACACACAGGCTGGATTGACACATCACAGCAAACTACTCTGCAGGGGTTCCACAGCACATGGATTTTTGCCTGAATTTACTGATCCAAAGACTGCATGTTTCCCATGGCAACATGGTTTCTTCACTCACTCCTCTGTCCTCCCACTCTTGCCATGCATCCTGGTAGCCCCTGCAACCAAAATATACCCTCTAACACTCTGTCTTTCTGTGGCAGCAGCATTGTTCGCATTGGTCTGCTGAGATTTTGAGGCAGTCTCTCCCTCTTCCCTATCCTGAATGGATGTGTATCTCTGGAAAGTTTCCTAGTCACTCTAGCCCCAAAGGAACCTCTGTTAAATCATAACAAACACTTTTGCCATTCCCCCTCTTCTCCCTCCATGCATTTACTTGCTTTCTCCCTGTTTCCAAAAGTAGAGACAGGCACATTGCTTGGCCAGTAAGAAGACAGCAGGTGCAGATGCATGTGTTGCCAGGGAGCTGAGGGTGGTAGACAGTCAATGGCTGAGTGGCTACCATGGTTACTTTTTCCATAGTACGCTATGGTGTTTCTATACTGACACGGGAGATCCCAGGTCCAGATAACCTGCGAAACCACATAGTGTGGAAACCTTAGAATAGATCCTTGTCTCTGTGGTTTCAGGAAGCTAAAAGTGCCATGCAGAAATGCCACCACTGAGACAAGATGACATTACGGACCGACAACAGTAAAAAGTCACCATGGTTTTTTGTAATGTACGATCCTGGCCAGAGAGAACATTAGCCTTTTCTATTAGTTCGAATGCAGTGTTCAGTTCATTCACATGTTGAACCTTATGATCACATATCTTGTACTTGAGAAGTGAATGTGAGTATGATTGGTAAATTAAGCATTCATTCTTTTAAAAGGAAATTTAAGAAGTAGTAAAATGAAATGTACTCAGAAAAACTGATATGAACTTTAGAAAATGAATATATTTGAAGCAAGTATGGGTTTCTTTTTCAGAACTGTATGAGTATGTGAGAAATGGACTAAAGTAATACGTATATACAAAAAGTAGTAGATGTGCAGGAGATAAAAGAGCTGACTATTATATTGAAAAGTAGTTCATGTACAGATACATGGAACAACAAACAACTCACAGTTATATGTTACTCCTGGAGCAAAATCTAATAGAAAAAGGCTGAACAGAACTCTTCAGTGAACAACCTGGGGGATGTGACAGTAGTTTCTTATATTGCACTTGTTTTATTAAAAATTACTTTTAGGCTGTCTTGAAGTATGGAAACCTCTTGATTCAGCTTACGAAATAGCCATTCAAAATGGATTCAGTCAAAACAAAAATTACCAATAAAACAGACAACCCAAATGTACAACTGGAAGTCCAGCATAAGCAAGTGGATCTTCAAAGCTTTCCTGAAGACCTGCAAAGATGGAACTTGACAAATCTCCAATGGAAATTGATTTCAAAGTGTAGAGCCACCACTGAGAGGGCCCCTTTTCTTGAACTCACCATCCTAACTGTCCTTGGTAGCCTCTGTTGATGACCTCAGCATGCAGAACATTTGATACAGGAGAAGTCAGCCCTTCAAGTAACTTGAGCCCAACCTATTGAAGGCTATAAAGGCTAAAATCATCACTTGAAATCATGCTGAGAAATACAGTTTGCCTGGATATTACCAAAGCAAAATATATGAGGCAAAAATCTTCCTTTCCAGATTGGCTTGTAATTGGCTTACCACCCTAAGCTGCTAAGTAATACTCTTGGCCACTACTGCCACCTGAGCTTCCCTAGTTAGTACTGAATCCAGAAGCAAACTCAAACTTCAGAAACAGTGCAGCTCCATCTGGAACCAGTTGTAATCTATCCAGATTAGTCAGTTTCCCTACTCACAGTACTTCTGTCTTATCTGTATTGAGTTTCAACTTGTTTTCCTTCATTTATTCTATGCCACTTCCATATACCACTTCTGGAATTCAGCAACCTTGGAAACAAGAGCTATAGTGGAGTGTCATCCACATAATGACAGCGCCTCAGTCGGAACCTCCAAATTACTTCCCCCAGTAGTTTCATGTAGATGTTGAAAAACATTGTGGACAAGGTAGAACTTCATGGAACTCTGCAGACCAGTGGTTATGGCATAGAGCAGAAGTACCCATGCATCAGTTTTTGTTTGTTCAGGAAGGAGTAGAACAAGTATAATACTATGCTTCCTGTGCACAACCCAGAAAAATGATCCAGAAGTATACCAAAAATGCTTTAAAAGGCCAGGGTCACTCTTCTTCCATTATCCCATTTAAGTCATCTGTTAAGGCAACCTAAGACTGTTTCTGCTTCAAAACTGAGCCAGACACTGGATTGGAAAGTATATAAATAGCATCATCCAACAGTACCCAGAGTTGAGAAGATACTACATGCTCAAGGACATTGCCCAAAAATGCTAGATTGACACTACATAGTAATTCTCTGAAACGAATTGATCAAAGCTAGTAATTTTTCCCAGTAGTGGCCTCACTGCTGCTTTCTGGACGCCAATGGGAACCACTCCTTCATTCAGAGGGGCATTAATCACCTCTGAGATCCCTGTGCCTGGCCCAGCTCTGACTGATTGCATAAGCTAGAATGAGTAAGTGGTGGATCTCAGTACTCCAGTAAACCAGAAGTTACTCGTGATAACATATCTAGCTTGCACTTCGATCATATTCTGCACTGACTGCATCTTAATCAGCCATTTTGACTTTATTTGCAAAATATTCAGCAAAATAACCACAGCAAGCTTTTGAGTGCTCCTATTGTTTTTCCCAATACCTACTCTAAAAATGTCCTTCACCACCCAGAAAAGCTGTGCTGGGAAACACGAAGAAGACACAATATTGGAGCAACATACAGTCCCTTTATCACCATCACTGCCACAGAGTAACTGTATTCAGCCACACATTCAGTATTTCACTAGTCATGCTCTGGTTGCAGGCCCTGTCATGTCATAGTCTTCTGCTCACCACAGTTCACAAGGCTGATATGACTCTGAGTTAAAAAAAAGGGTGGAGGGAGTGATTGTGTCAAGAACCTGAATCATTTCCTCATTCCAATTGGAAACCAGGCCTTTGACAAGTTCACCAGCTATACCTGCAGGAAAATCCCCAAGAAACATCAGCAAGCCCTTTGGATTTAAGCCCTTTTTGGGCAGACCATCAAATTAAATCCACCCTCCTTATGGAACTCAAACATTAAAACTGAATGGAGATTGATCTATTCATGCCAACACAGTTGTTTCTGGCTCTCCAGCCCACAAATCATTGTCCTCTAGTCCAGTACAGAGAACCAAACCTAAGGTATATCCTGCCATTTCTGTTGGGCCAAGTATTACCTGACAAAAGATTGTGATTGGTATGGAAGCCATGAAATCCTGAGTTGTCCTTTTCAAGGCTGTTTCAGCATAAATAGTAAAGTCTCCTGACACCAACCATCTTGGAGTCTTTAACACCAGACTTGAAACCATCTATGTCAGCTCAGTTTAATCCTGTTGAGATCTCAAGAATAGATATGGTATTAAAAACTGGGTAACTGCTGGACTGGAGTCTGTATAGATGAGAGCTGCCTTTTGCCTTGCCTCTTGAACAAGCTTGGTGCTCCTCTGAGAACTGTGATGGACACCAGGAAATGTTGACTGCACCAACCAGATTTTAGTGATATAAACGATATTGGAACGTTCTTCCACAATAAGTTCATTTTTCTGTTAACCAACCTGATGTTCATCAGCAGCACCTAAGGCACAAGAAGACCAATGGCAAGCTGGCATTGTTAACTGAGGCTGGGAAGCAAACTGCAAGGAGAAAAAACAAAGATGTGTCTCAGTCACCTTCCCTTATAGTGTTGTCTCTCATCACTGTAATGATGATGTTATACACTATAATTATAGAGGTTCCTAGTGTCTCACCTCTGGAATGTGTAGCTGGCCTCACTCAGCACCAAAACTCACAGAGTACAATAACTCAACCTACAGCCAAGTTCGTGGAACATCTTGTACACATCAGGGTGGAAATTTACCCTCCACTTCCCTCAACAGATGTTTTTCCACATCCTTGGGCACTGAGCTTAATGTTCTGAGATGCTCTGAGCACTCTGCCAGATTTTACCTCTTCAGTCCTTCAGTCATTGAAGGACTGTCTGCTTCCCCCCATCTGAGAACCTTTGTGCTCTCACTGTTCAACTTGCATCAGAAGCTTGTGCCTCCAGTGAGCTTAAGCAAAGCTTAAGCAAATTATCTGGGAGTGGAAGAACAAGAAAAACAAACATACGTGCAAACACCAAGTGAGAACAGGTTTACAGCCCTCCCTGTGTTTCACCTACCTCTTGCTGAGCATTTTAAATGGAATATGGGTTGGCAGTAGTTCTCAGACCACTGAATTTAGTTTGACAATGGCTTCCATCTTATCCAGATTTCAGTAAGTGTTGTTTAAATTCATTTGAGGTTGTATTTCTGTTTGCATAAATTATATAAGACAATGATTGAGTTATAATAAAATGATTGAGTTACAATTAAATGCATTAAGTGTTGTTATTGTTATTATTGGTTGTACTTTCATGATTAAAAACATTTGGCCCAATCTAAAACATGTCTGTCCATAACTGGAAGGGTGGTGATATGCATAAACAATTGCTACTCTCACTGTACTGCTTTTCAATCCAACAGCCAGGGCACATCGGCTTTTTTGTGAAGCTGAAATCATGTCATCAGCTATTCAGGAAAAAGAACTGGACTCACTTGCTGTCAGATAGCTGATTGGTGGGATTTCATCTTTTTTTAAAAGCAGATTACTCATGGACATCTGGCTGCTTTCTCTGTGCTCTACTGAATCAGAGCCAAGCCCAGCTATGTTTGCACATGATCTTTGTCTATCATTGCACTTGTAGCTATCACTTGATAGCTTGAACATTTTATTTTCCCCATCATGAAATGCCTGCTATTGTCTAAATTGGGCTAGATTGGTAAAGGTTTAAAAACCAGAGTCACACTCACCTTTTATGTCACTGATACACATCCTTTGTGCATATTCTTTCTTAATTCACTCACACAAATATATAATGAAATCTGAACATCAGTTTCAAAAAAGTCATACTATTAAAGAAGACAACTACTTCAGAGTAATTATTTGAACCTGTATTTGTAGAAATTCCCTTGGGCAGAACACAACAATGGATAAATGGCTTCCTACTACACTACATGCTCCCTTCCAAAAAGTTGGGGCACTCAGGTGGAGCACCTGGAGTTGGAAGAGAAAATCTGATATGAATGTGGAAATCTTTAGGGCATGAGCATGGGTCTCTTTGAATCTTGACAATGTACTAGCAGTTTGTTTTCTGAGCTGCAAAGTTCATGCCACATTGACAGTTATGAGATTCATATTTGTACCATCGTTGGTATATGCTGATTCAAGAGTCCTGTGTTTACTAAAAGTTATATCCTTGCACAAGGTGCAAGGTGAAAATGAAAATTTGCAATGTTTTGTATTTCTCACATGTTCTTTCAGTTCACATTTCAAACTGGGTTTATCCTGGGTTTGCAGTATAAAATGCTGTTGTAAGTTTAAATGTGTAATATGTCTTCTATATCTTTCTCTAATCCTTCGAGCTTCTCTCTGTATATGATCTAGGGTTACATTCCGAAAAGCAAATGGGAGATGGATACTTCTGAAGCAAAACTAGGTGGGTATTTCATTTATTTATTTATTTATTTATGTCTGGTGAATGTATTTGCACATCTATTGTTTTCTGATCACTTCCCTAAAGGAGAATGATATGTATTGAATTTTATATTTCTGAAATACAAGTATCCCCTAAGTGGTATAATATATACATTTTGCCTTTTCTGGTTGCAAAGACACAAATAACTAAATCTTTGTGGGTTTTGCACAACTTCTGTAATACAATATTTTTTATATTAGTATTCAACTGAATAAGTTGTGAGTAAAGGAAAATATTTGCAGTCCCTTATTGTTTCGCACATAGGTGCCAAGGACAAAAGGATCAAGTGCATACTCTTTGTACCATTTTGTTTACAGTCCATACACTTTAAATCCTAAATAGTTTCCATACATTGTTCAGCATTGTGCTTTGTTTTCACATGGTTGTAGGTAGCAAGTGACTACCAGCATTTCAGTGCACTGTTAATGGGAAGGTGCTATTGTGACATCATTGAGTGTCACTTCATTCATTAATTGTACAGAGACATCAGAGAAGGCCAAATTTCACTGTGTTTCATCTTATGCCTATTTTCTAGAATCTGCCTTGATAGTATATTATTTTCTTAGAGGCCATTATTAGAGAACAATTACGTGATTGACCAGACTAAGTGTATACTTCCTGGTTTTAAGCTAACTATAACCAATCAAATCAGTGTGATAGTATTATTCTTTAAAAAGTCTTGTAGAACAGAACCTTTTACTTAGGATTCACAAGAATAAGACATACAGAAACAGGGAAAGGTTTGCACACAGAAATCTTGCTAAGAACATTATGCTGCAAAATATCAATAAGAAATATAATGCTGAACAATGGTAAATGTATGGACATCAAGAAATTCCCATTACTCTTCCATTTCTATATCACAAAACATTCATGCACACATTTCAACATCATTCCTGAAAGTTTTGTAGCCCAAGATACTTAGGAGTGCTCCATTCCTCCCATGTACTTTTGACTTCCAGAGATTTAAGGTATTCAAATCAAATTCAGCATTGCAATGAATTCATTCAGCATCATTGTATTTATTTAGCAGGCTAATTGATTGAATGTGTGTAACCAGCTAAATGACAAAAGGTATGTAGCGTTCTTTCAGAGTTTGGATCTGGATAATTGAACTTAGAGTGCAAATGGAATATAGTCTTTTCCATTCTGGAATTATTAACAGGAAAAAGTTCTGGCACCTTTTTAGCAGCAATGTTCTGTTAATAAGCCATTGAAATATAAAAATATAATATTCTTTGAAATTTAAATATTTAAAAGAATATAAGAACTTATTAATATGTATGGTGTGCCCAGCAAAACAACTTTTCTGAAGAGTTAGGTATTTGAAAAAAGAACTACCAGTGAAGATGTGTGCAGGCATAGAATTTAGAGCTTATTGTGTTTTAAGCCAAGGTCCTCATTTGGACATATTTGCATGGGGTAAAATAGTAGCTTGATGAAATTAAAAATTGACTTTAATATAAAACTTCACACATTGTTACCACATATAGGGATACATATCTGACATATTATACCAAGTTCTTCTTTCACACAGCAGTTTTATATCCAAATACATAATCTGGCAATCTTTGAAAGATCAGTCACAGTTTTATCCCATAGAAATTTCCATTATCTTTCTGGGAACAGGTCTTTGTATCCTTTGTATCTAGCATAAATTAGACTGAAAATTGGTAGAAAAGGTTGCTAATGGTAATCATGGGGGTGTACACATAGAAGAATGCAACATGACCTGAACCTGGATAGAATATGCTCTAACTTGTATGAATTAGGAAGTGTTGAAGTTGGCCTGTACAATATTCTGTAGGGACTAACTCTAGAGTCTAGAGATGATGATGATTCCTGTGCCACCCAGTTCACAGCTGCTTTACTGGAACAAATGCTAGAAAGCAGTTATCCTATATCAGTAACCAAATGCACAGCATCTGATTTGGGTGTAGGTGAGTGATGTGATAGCTAACTTCACACACTGAACTGTAGCAATATGGTTTGTTTTCATGGGATTGTTGTAAGTAAACCAATAGTTTTGTAAGAACATGGTATGTGAATTGATACTGAATTATTTTCAGTAGTAATATTTTAAAAATAAGGGAAGATTCTGAACGTATTAATTTAAAATATTTGTGATGTGCCCATCAATTAAGATTTGACATAGCATGCAATATAGTTAACATATACAATGAATATAATCAATTTAACATCAACACTATCAGACAGAGAATAAAAAGTTTTATGCAGTTTTAAAAGCAATATTAAAACAGTAGTGAAAACAACAGTTCATGCAAAGAGCAGTGTCTTCAACCAGCATCTAAACACCAACAAAGCAGATTGCAGAAGAATGTTCCACAAACAAAAGGTGTGGTGAGCAAGAACGACATATCCTTTATTGTAACCCCCCTCAGTTTTGAGGTTGGGGATACTCTGGGCAGAGCTTCTAAAGGTGTTAATTGCTGAGCAGGTTTCCATAGGTATAAGCTGTCTTGTAGCCATTCTGATCCCAAGCCAGTACTTGATGGTTTTCTAGGCCAAAGACAACATCTTGAAATGTGCCCAGATGAAATTAGTAAACAGTGAAGCTCTTTACATGCTGGTTTCAGTGTGTTATGTACTGTCAGTATCTGTTTGCTTGTTTGTTCATTGTATTTGTATACTGCCATTCTGAGGCCAACCAAGGCATTTACAAATTAACACCCATGTTGTTGTATTCTGAAGTAACTCCAGTTTCTGAACAGACTTCAAAGGCGGTCTCACATGCAGCACTCAGCAGTAATCTTTCAGAGCAAGGGTAACTGCGCCTGGGTCTAATTTTTCAAACAATGGCCACTGCTGGTGTACCAGCTGAATTTGGTTAAGGATCCTGTGAGCAAGGGAGGGTCCCTGAGCATCCATCTATAATGCCATACATAACAACTTTGCCAGGCTGTGGGCCTGATCCTTTAGAGGAAATGCAGCTACATCCAGAAGAGACTTGATCCTTTCCTAGTGAACTGTATCACCAGCCACCATAATTCATTCTTTTCTAGCAATGTGCTACTGAATACCATTTGCTGGGGTATAGCATTGAAGGAGGGATATTGTATTCATGCTCTGCTTGTGGGCTTCCCAGAGGGCTCTGGTTGATCACTGTAAGAAACAACATGCCAGACTATATGAAGCTTTGATTTTTTTTTTTTATTTATTAAAACATTTCTATGCCGCCCCATTCGCCGAAGCCTCGGGGCGGCTCACAACATAATATAATACAAAAATAACAATATAAAACTAACAATATAAAATAAATAACAATATAAAAGATTTGATTCAGCAGGGCTTCTTGAATGCTCTTATATTCTGTTTATTGGCCCACATCCAGTCCATTGCCAACTTCAGATACCTGTTCAAAGCATGTACAGTAGCTGGAAAGAAACAGTTGTGTGACATCAGCATAATCATCACAGTTGACTCCAGTTCTCCAGATGACTTCTCTCAGAAGTTTTGTGTAGAATCTAAAGAGTGTGGGGCACAAGATGGAGCATTGTGGAACCTTGCGGCAGAAATGCCATGGGGCGGAATAGCAGTCACTCAGTACTACTTTCTGGAACCAATCAGAACATAAGCACAGAAACACGGTGGCTCCAAATATTCATCTGAGATGGCCAATGCATAATTTCACCAAGGTCACTGCTATTAAAAATCACTGAGGGGTCCAGGAGGACCATCAGTAATATAGTCCTCCCCTTCCTGGTAAAGTTATCTAAAAGGGCAAAATAGAATCGCTTAGGCAATATAACAGTACTACATACTTTCCAAAAGAGCGCTAAAGGATAATGTACTTTCAGCCGGCTATCCAGATGCTTGCTCTTTGAGCACTCTCTTTTAAATAATGCTAAAATGCCATTATTTGTTGATTTTTTTGATTCATAGGTTTATCTCAGACATTCATAGGTTTATCTCAGACATTAAACATTTTTCTGCAAAGATTGCCTATATCATACTATGACATGCTGTATTGGCAGTATGGCCTCTTGAATAGTGTGTACCTTGCCTTCTCCTTGCATACTTCCTTGAAAATAATGTTTCAGCTGAAATATAACTGCTGTTAAGTGCTTGTGAGTCCATTTGACAATTCCATTTTGGTTGTAAGTCCTTTCAGGAAATAATTTCAACTTGATCTCCTTTCCAAGGCAGTCTTCATAGAAACAGAAACCAATTATATTAGATGTGTCTCTACTCTCATCTTATAGAAAATATGCTTGTGTGAAAAGGTTATTACTGTTTGATGTGTCTTACCACTTAAACTCCTTTTCAGTTCTTTTGTAATTTTTTGGGTGAGTATTCATTACATTTCATAGAATCACAAGATATTAATGTCACATACAGTAACAAAGAAATGAAAATCTGAAGACTTGAGACATAAGAAATAGTATACTGAATGAAAAGGACATTGCTTTCACTACTTATCACTGTCTTTTCTATGGAAGCATTACATACACCATTACCTTGCCACTTGAATGAAAGAGTTAACTTTTCCATGTCGATCAGATATACCTGATGATGCTTGATTCAGAACAATTTGATGCTGGGACCAGTATCCAGAGAACTGGATATGCAGAAGGGCTTTTTGGCCTCTCCAATACAGCTACTTTTGAAAAGCTTCTCCAGAACTGGAGGTCTACAGATGGGAAGGAGAATCAGCCAAACAACACATACACACAATACAAATCAAGTGAAATATTTTCTACTTGTACACAGGACTGTTTGGATCATGGCTCTTGTTTATGAGACTTTCAGGGTGGCCATCTTTCATCTCACAAATATATACATACATGTTTGTGTACTTCTCCCTCAGTGAGCTTATTCATGGTCAGAACTCTCAATTGAAAATGGTTTTGTGATTAATGGTCAGTAGATTTCAAAACACTTTTACTATTGCAAAATGTGAATGATGTTTTTCATATATTGCTATTGGTAGATGGCATCCTTCTACAGAACTGAAACCATCATTTTAATGTGAATATAACTGGCATATTAAACTGAAGTTTTTGAAAATACAGTTAGAGTTTAACTAGAATTAAATTGCCCCAAATAATCATAATACAATTATGGATCAATGAAATAGTCCATTTATTGGATATGTACTGTCTTCTAGGCTTGAGATAGTTTCAACAAAGATAGTGAAGCGAGTACAGATTATTTGAATTAACATTTTATAGTCAAAAGTATTTTGTTCTGCTGTATCTTGTAAAATTATATATATATAGCTGCCACTTTTTCATTTGCTCTGTTAAGAAAACGATGATTTGTAATGCTTTATCCTAGAAACAGGGATTTGCTAATTTTTAATAGCAATCTCAGGTAGGCATTTGGAAAACTTTAAAATATGCTATTACACATTTAAACATTGGTGTCAGTCTACTACATAACATTGTGAACCTGCAAAAAATACAAATTATGCATATCCAAAGCCTTTGTGAGCTATAACACTAATATCATCCATTCACACCTGCTTGTATGTTGCCAATAGAAGCTATTTCCTAATGATACAGGATTTGAACGATAGCATTCCAAGAAAAAGTTACCATACAAAAAATTTACTACAACCATAATTCTTAAGTTTACACCAAGAGAGTCATACTAGTATTAGCAAATGTAGAAATGGAGAACTGTTTGTGGGTAGCAAATACTCTGTACCATAGATTTCTCATTGAAGCAATTCAAAACTATCTTGTGTTTTTAAAATAAAGTCCAAGCATGTGGTGGACTCCTGATATGCATTTACCTAAACATAAGGAATGATATATGGTTTTTAATAATTAAACTCCTGGTAAATGGAATCACAATTTCCAGAACATGTTCAAGTATCATTATAGTGTATGAACTCTGATGTTTTTCTCCCTTCTGCTTATATATCATACTATATTGCAGATCCACAACTTGATGTTTCAAAAGAGTAGAAATGGGTGTTCCCATTTCTCTGAATTTATTCCAGTCATGAAGATGCTCAAGAGCATGCAGAATCCACTACTATAGATACCAGTTTGCCCTTTTGAGAGTATTCCCATGCTTGCTTGTTTTGGGCATTACACAGAGTTTTCTTTTTTTTTTTAACCGTAAGGCTATATGTTTGTTCTCAGACAAATTGGATGGATTGCGAACTGGTGCTAAGAGAAAACGTGATTGGGAGGCAATTGCCAGCAGAATGGAGGATTATCTTCAACTTCCAGATGATTATGATACCCGTGCTTCCGAACCTGGAAAGAAGAGGGTAATAAATGCCACTTTGGGTTTATTGTCTCAGAGGGACTCGCACAACCACAAACCTAGAACTGTATATTTTGATTCAGTTCATCTACATATGGGCACGTGGTTGTGTCCTTTGCTTTCATTTTATTGTTTCATTAGGTTCCATTTCTCTTACTGACAGAATTCTGAAGATCCACATGTCTAGTCATATGTGTGGTACTGAGGACTGGAAGAAGAGTGCTAAGCCAGATAGTATACTTGTAACACTGAAGACAGGACAGACTGTTTGGGGTGGGGGGAACCAGTAAACAATTGAGGAAACGGAAAAGATGCTGATATTTGGTGGATTTTTTAGTATGGATAGAGGGTGGAAATTAAGGCTGTTCATGGAAGTTACTTAGAGGTTCCTGAAAAGATAATTGGCTTCCTTTTAGTGTTGTGCCAGATTATCATGAAGTTTCATTTTTATATCAAAAGTTACTGTGTGAAACTCCCTACATTTCTCTCCCTCTCTCTCTCTTTGACATACACACTCTTCTCTCACACACGCAAGTATTTACATATACAGTTATTGTTCCTTCATCTGCTGTGTGGTGTGGAAGTAGAGGGGAAACATCCCCATTTGCCAGGCAACACTCCCTGCCTTGCTACTCTGAGCTGGCAATTACATCGCCCTACATCCCATTGAAAGAAATTCAGTGCCAATAGATGATGTCCAGATGTGGTTCATTGATATTGAACATCTAATTACATATACCCATCCTGCCCAGTTGACTCAAACACCACTGGTACTGGCCAAGAGTATTGGCCTGGTTCCCTCAACAAATGGGACAACATCTCTTTTGTCAACAGTTTTGTATCCTTTTACATAAGTATGCAAAAAATTACTGACATGGGAATGGATGGGATTCAGTTCTGTATTAATTCTATTAGAGTTCCTTCTGGTGAGCTTTGATAGTTGAAAAGACGTGTAAAAATAAGAAAAAGAAGCAGAGCTGGAATTGCCCATCTTTTTTATCCTTTGCAGTTTCAATGATTCAATTCATAGTTTCATTATCATCTGTTCTTACATGGTTTTAGCAGGTAAAAAATAAGGAAGGTAGAAAACAGACTTACTTCAGAGAACCAGACTAAACATTGTGCTTGTGCTTGGACAAGACCATTGTGCAGAACCCTTTCTTTGAGACTTATTTGCCCATAAGACTTGACAATGCTAGGTTTGATGGACAGTGCCCTCACTTAGCATATGATAGTACCACACATCCAAAATTGTTTATCATAAATAGCCTTGGGGAACCTGGAGAGGGTTTCAGTAATTTAAATAGGAAGTAATAAAACAATTAGTGGTTGACCCACAAGAACCTCAAGTGTTCAATAAAGAAGCAACGAAGACGTCCTGAAATGATGCACTTCTGCTTTTGGAGCTTCCTGGTTACATATGAGAAAGGACTTTGAACAGCTTCCCTGAGATACGATGTGAGAAAATCATGTTCAGAACTCTAATGCGTATGGAACTCTCACATCTTAGTACAAGGGGAACTCCTGTGTTGCAGTAAACAACCAGTTTTTACAGTCTACAGTAACTAGTGTTGAAAAGGCAAGCAGGACAGAAGAATGGTCTCATAACATCTTAGATTTCTAAGCAAAGTCTTCATATGAATTGTGCCAAAAGAATTGTGCAGTGACTTCTGAGGCTGCGGAACTCAAATTGGATCGGGCTTAAGGTTTGCCTACCTCTCATTCAGTACATTAGGATGCTCAACTGATGGAGTTGCTATCCCTCTTCTAAATTGTCTGAAATCTTTGCTAATGCAAAACCATTGTGGCAATAATAGGTTCACTTCCTTTTCCTAAACTGAGTATCATTCCAACATTGTGTTCTTTGTAGGTGAGGTGGGCAGACCTTGAAGAAAAAAAGGATGCAGACAGAAAGAGGGCAATTGGTTTTGTTGTGGGACAAACAGATTGGGAAAAAATCACAGATGAAAGTGGTCATTTTGCTGAGAGAGCCCTTAATCGCACCAAATACATCTGATGCAATTGTCAAATGGAACGTTTCTACCTTTAAGGTAAGAGCTGGACATTCTTTTAGTGTTTTTGAAAATGAGCTAAGGAGCATTCAGTGATAATTTGGACATTAGGGCTTAGATAGACTTGCCTGTTGTGCATTTCTATTTGCTGAATAATCTCCTATATTATGTATAATGATAAGAGAAAATGGGATGCCACAGTTCAAATATTTAGTAATGAGAAACTTCTCAAGGAAGCCAGACTATTTGTCAGCACTGTGGTTATTTCTTCCAGAGCCAGATACTGTCTAGTTCTCTGTAACCATTTTATTTTCTTTGCAGGTCATTTGCTTTGGTGAGAACTGAACACAGGTTGGCATGGAATATGTCACTCCCCTTCCTGAGAATTGTGGGATGTTTTTCTTTTAAAAAGTTTATTTTATTACGTTCCTTGAAATTCTAACTGGTGATATCCAGCATCCTCAAGTTATATGGAGTCCTCCTGCATCTAAATGTGAAAGAAGTTTTTTGTTTTAAAATCAATAGTCTTAGCTTTTATGTGTGCAGTAGAATGGAAAAATAAGGCCAAGGACATTTCCTCTGCTGTACTGTCACAGAATATTGGCATTACCATTGCATTGTTGCTTTGTGGCTGTTATTTTATACTGTACAAACTTTTAGTTTATTGTACTAGAAAATGGAACAATAAACTTTCACTATGAACCCGGTGAATGTAGTTGTCCATATATATATATATATATATATATAATGTGTGTGTGTGTGCGTGCGCCACGTGTGTGTGCGTGTTTTACCTTTCTAAATGTGGGCTCTTCATCTCTTGGCAGAATGTTGGAAGTTACATACTGATGAAGGTAGGTGCTTGGTAATCATCCAAACCTCTTTTGGTCATTAAAGGATCTAGTTTTCTTCCAAACCTACTCTTGAAAGCATTTCTATTCTTCAGATAAAAAAGTAAACAGACATATAATTGTTAGAAAGCATTAATGTATGCAAAGAGACTAAAAGCTACCTCAACTGTCTCAAGAAGAAGGCTGTATTTCATGTTGGAGAGAAAGTGATTTGTCTGTAGGACAATGCCAAGTGACATTAAATACAGTGGCCTCTTGTCTTACTACATACACAGCTTTATTTGCTTACTAATGAACAAATGGAATGAATTTCAGATTTCCTGTTCAGTGGTACGTATTGTATAGGGAAGGAGCTAAATCATCTGAATGAGGCTATTTCTGTTAATGACATCTTTGAAATTGTGATCTTTAATGTTACTTTAGAAAAGAGGGAGGAGAGACTGAAAGCAGTTTCAACAACTATTCTTAGTTTAGTGATTACCTTGCAAACAATTTCTGTTCAAAAGCACATTAGTCCTGATGAGGGCATTTTTCTCTATTGAAGGAGGACCACTGTTTAGTATTTAATGAATGGTTTGTTTTTGTAATACATTTGTTTACTTGACATTTTTCAGTCTGATTAATTATGTATAATTTGGAAACTGTTCCCAGAATGAATGATGGAATAATCAAAAGTAGCACAGAATGTTGAAAGGCTACAAATGCTTATTCATATTTATAGTTTCTCATTATGCTGCATTGTAACTTGGCATTATTGGTAAACTATTTTTGGACATGCATTTCATAATAATTACAAGGAAACATGGGAAACTGGAAGCCATTACAACCTTGTAGAGGTCAAGATTGCATTCACAGTTGCTAAATGAAACCTATTAGTTGATAAGAAGGCAGAATGAAAGTATATTGATTCCAAAGCTGGAATAATAAGTGGATCTTTTGGCTAAAGATGAATGGGAGTTTGAACCTATTTTATACAATTTTTTGCAATGTCTTGTTGAATGTAAATGTGCCTTTCCTACTAAAATGAGCTTCCTTTTGGGTTTTTGTCCAAGAAGGAAAGTAATTACTTCTACATTGTACTTAGTTAAGCAAGCAGATGTAGTATTAATCAGAATAATGGTTTATTGCTCTTGTCAGAAATGAAACAAAAATGGGGAGACTCCAGACCACCTGCAGTATTTTAAGAAAATGCAAACTTTCAAAGTGCACAACACTGATTTGGTTCTGAAGATGTTCTGTTCATGCTGTGTTCACTGACCACTGGGATCTATCCTTTGTCAGTACTATCTGGCATGATGGATGTTTCTTTTCATCGTGTGCACTGGCTTCTTTACGAGAAATTTGTTCATCTTGTAAATTTGTGTGAATTCACATTACTAGTGCATAAGAATAATTGTATACTTTTATCTGGGTTCTGCCATAACCCACATTCCACTCACTCAGATGTAGTTTTAGAGCTTTTAACAGTATTCACTTACAAAATATGTGGAAAGTACTTCTATAAATACTCTTAGTCATACTTGCCTGAAGATTAAGGATGGGTATATGCTGTTCTGCCATCAACTCTTGACTACAGCTCAATGTTATATTATCCTCTTCATTGTTGAGATTTGATATTTGTCTGTTATGAGACTTTTATGACAAGGCTTGTATCAAAACCCTTTTACACCTAAGACAAAGGTTTGGTTTAGACAAATTTAAATGTCATACCAAGTGAACAAGCAGAACTTACTTGTGCGTTATTGTACACATTTGGCATTTCATTTAAACCATCTACTCTTTGTGTATCATGCTAGTCTGCTAGCACAGTGCTCACCTTGGCTACTGTGCCTGGCATGTCACCACTGCATTCTCAGTGCATCATGCATTTAGCTCTAGATACTGTATTGACATTGCTGGTTTATCATGGTTGTGTCATCTCAGTTTGTCTTTTTGTGTATCCAAGCTTTATACTTTGATTCAGCACATAATTTGGAAGCAGCTGCATGTTCAAGGAGGATTACTTATATTCCCTCCCCACCTAGTCTTTTGGTTTGAGAGAGAATCACCTACAGAGAATTTGCTACACATTTTCAAATTCAACAATTGATGCTTCTTTTATGCAAATGTTAGAATAGCCTGTGAAACAGCTTCCTTTTTTGCTTTTTCATTTTTCTTGTTATTTTCTGTGAGCAGCAATTCAAGAATATCTCCATGGTCAGAGCACCTTAAGATTAGTTCTCAGTGAACAAGCAACATGGGAGGGCTGTTGCCTTCATTTCATTTTATTTCATTCTCAGCAGTTATGCCTTACTGTTCTAACACATATTTAGATTTAACTTTACACACACTTATTAAAATGAAGAATGTCAAAACAATTTAAAAACAACAAAGTTAAAAGGCTAGAGAGAAGCTAATACTAATAATCTAAAAAGTATATGTAAAAACTTCCTACCCACCACATTTCCAAAGCAGAAGATGCATAAAGTGGTCAGCCAAATTCATGTGGAGGTTGGATTTTTTGAACTAGCCATTGTTGAAAAGTAAATGCTGGATTAGATTAATTTTTGATCTTTTCCTGCAAATGTGTGTGGTGTTGTGTCAAACCTGAACAAGATATACATTCGTTCACACATTTTTAGTATCTCATTGGTTTAATCAATTTTAACAGATCAGATCAGAATTGAGAGGAAGGAAGAAAAAATGATATTCCAGATTCAAATAATGTTGACTGGTACCAGCTGTAGCTACACATTACTTATTACTATACTTTGAACCTTGATGTCTATTTGAATAAGATGGAAGAAAAAACTGCCTGTTGCAATCACAATTTCCACATATCTGACACCATGTAAAGTAATTAAGTATCTAACTTCTGAACCTGTCACTCTCTTCTGGGATTCTAGTTGAAAAATATATTAATTATACATTAACTAAATGAATAGCATACAATCCTCACAAAGAGCAGTTTACATTTAACAGCATTTTGATAGCAGTGATACTGTCTTCATGGTATTACAAGGCAGCCTTCTTGATGTTTGAGCTTGCAATAAGACATTCTTGAGAGAAACCACTTCTTGTTTGTTACTGGCTTGCTAAATTGGATAGCATGGAAACATTTATTGTTAAGCATACTGTTACTGACCCAGAGGTACATCCGTTTTTGAGATGGATGGTGAAATGAGGACCCACACCTTGTACCAAAGAATGATAAAGTTGGCAGACAACCTTCTCTTAAAGGAAGTGACATATCTGGCTGCTGTTAATAGAGTTAGATTGCTCCTACATTTGAGAACTATGAACATCTGATTAAGCTGCTTTTTGAGACAGAATTTACATCATCCTGCCTTAAAAAGGCATTCTGGAAAAAGAACATTTAATTCAAAGATCTAGTCTTTGTTCACCTGTGTATTGTTATAAGAAATGTCCTACCCATTATTTCATTATGTCTCTTTTCTTAATGCAATCTCAGGCTTAGATTTTGTTAAGTGAAATATTCATATTAAAATAAGAGCTAAGAATTATTTGCATTAGTACTGGAAACATCTGAAACTGAAAAGGCAGCTAATATTATAAAAATTATAAGTCCATGGATCTGTCTGTGTAGTGGCACAAAACCCACCAAGAACCTCCAATCCCGTTTTTGTTAAAAGTGGTAGAGCAGGAATGAGAGTCAGTGGGTGTAGTGATTAAGAGTGCCGGGCTGGGACTCAGTCTCCACTCAGCCATGGAGCTAAATGGGTGACTTTGGGCCAGTCACAGACTCTCGGCCCAAGCTACTTCACAAGATGTTTGTTGTAAGGATAAGACAGAGAAGCTGAGGAGAATTATTTAAGTTGCCTTGAAAGGAAAAGAGGCAGGATACAAATAAAATAAACTTGTAGCCCTCTAAAGGTTATGTCCCACAACTCATATCAGCCCTTTCCATTGGCTATGCTAGCTAGGGCTGATGAGAGTTGTAGGTCAAAACATTTGAAGGGTACAAATTGGCCATCCTTGCTGAAGAGAATAAATTCTTATCTCCCAATTCCCATCTCCCAAGTAGAAAGTGTGTATGTTAAATCAGTGCTCCGAAACCAAGGTGGATAAAAATGATTTTTAAAATAATAACAATTGGATTGTTATCTAAATCATTAAAAAAATGCTTTCTGAGGAGAAATCTAAAGTTACGTTTTTCTCTTAAGTGCCAGGTTTCTATGAATAGGAAATTATTGAAAGAGATTCTTTTAAGAGAATCAAGGTGGTCTTTCATGAGTTTTAGTGTTGGAGAGCCTTTCAGGGAATATGTCAGTGTTAGAATTATGGCTGGTTCTGGATGGAGATAACCACAGCCCCCAACAACTGAAGAATGGAAAAATGGACTGGTGGAGTACATTTAGAAGATTGTTGGAGGACTGTGCAGCATGATAAGTGGATCTGAGGTGTTTAGAAAAGAAAGGGAAAGCTGTGGAGGATCTGAAGTGATTGGAGGATTTGTTGCCATATAGATTAAGAATTTCTTTTGTGTTACATTTTTATGTTGATGGATAGATTTGGGGGCTGATTGTACAGGCTGGATTTGTTTCAGTCTCCCTTGGCAACTTTGTTTATTTCAGCTTGCTCTGTTTATTATAGTTGTTTTGCTTTCAAAGTAAAATTTTTAAAAAGGGAAAAAAAGATTGTTGGAATCAGAATAGATCTGCACAAGAAGCTAAGTGTGAAGAGGGAGGGGCAAGCAGTAAAAATGAAAGCGAAACCTTTTGAGCAGAATACTCCACAAGCCTTTGGCACTTTTTGTGTATAACCTGAGGTTTATCATGTCATTCTTTCCCTGAAGGAGGAAACCTATAATGGCAGCAGGTTGTAAAAGAGAGCCAGTTTGGGAAAATGTTAATGAAGTT